ACTGGTTTGTGGAAGGCAGGGCCTTTGGGGAGCGGCTAAACTGCTCGTCTCAATGCCAAGAGCCTCAAAACTTTGGATTTGTGGCTCAGCACGGACGATCAGTGCCGGAGAAAGCGGCTCTCTGGAGACAGGGTAGGCTCATCGCTCGTTCCTGGGGCTCACTGCTACTACGGGAATCAGAGTCTATCCAGTGGCTTGAACTAGGGCAGCAATTAGCAGCGGCTAGCAGCAACAAGCAGGCTGGGGAGGTGTCTGACTTAAGGCTCGATCTCCTAGAAAGCACGACGCTCCCCGCTCTGAAAACATCGCACCTTTGATTACGCATGTGCCGTCTTTTGCAGACGGGGTCGTTCCATTATGTTCTATTTGTGGCCGAAGGGCTGTTTGGCTTGAGTGCCTGCGAGCCTGCAGGCACCCCCGCCGCCCCCCCCCCCCCCCCCCCCCCCCCAACTATGCAAACCCGCTGGTTATGCATATTTCTGAGTCACTAGAAGCCTTGTGCTGTCCGGAAAGGCCCTCAAATCCTCACGTCCAAGGGTCGATGGTGACTGAGGGGGACGTCGAGGTCCTGCCGAAGCCAAGCCAACGAAGCTCTCACAAACAACATCTCACAAGCTAGGTGATTGGGCCTGTCGTTGGGATTTTGGAGCTGTTTTCAGATCATTGTCCTCAAGGATCCTTGATTCCTGAGGTGCTAAAAACCACGAAGGCTGCGAGATGCTGCGAGTGGCTAACTTTGAGAGCGCCTCCTCGACTGCTTGTGTCCGCAAAGGCTCGCCTTGCGCTGGGGGTTTCGATGCGAGTTCGCCAAATATTAGGCTGCTGTCGGGCTGCTGTTGGGCTCTCTGGGTCTCTGGGGGCCTTTGTTGTGAGGCCAGGTGTGACAAAGGGAACATCTGATGAATCATGATGAACCCTCCCTCCCTCGAGGGGCCACGTTGGAAGAGGTCTCAAGGCTTCCTAGAAAGCGACCGACCCAAAAACGATGACTGTAAACATCTGTAAATTAAAAACTGAAGGCAAGCTGCTAAAGAGAGCTGAGAAGAGCTGTCGCGACGAAGCTCAGAAGTTGCATTGGCTGTACCCGACTCACCAAGCGCCCCCCAAGTCCCCAAGTTGCAGGTGCATGAAAGGGCCCCAAAGGTTGGAATTCACACTTGGGCCAATCGGGCGGCGTTTTGGCTTTGGGGTCACGCTTTCCGATCATCCCAATCCTCAACAGACCCGAGCCCAGTGGCAAAACAGCGGCGTAGGCTTTTGAAAGCCAGGAAGATGCTGCAAATGCACCTTAGGGGGATTGTTGTCTTGGAGTCGGGTCACTTCTGCAGGTATAAGTATGACATTCTCTGAACAAGAGAACAACAGGGCTTGTGAAGCCGACAAAGTCAAGGCCTCAATGTGAGCACCATGTGTGGTGCCCTCGGTGCGGGTCCAAGCCCAAAAAGCTGCGAGCTTTGAACAGCCGTTCACTGACTCCATGCTCACAACCCAAAGTGACCCAATTCTTGCGTGGCAAGGAGCCTTACTTACAAACTGGCGCAGCGCACCAGTGCTGTGAAAACGGACCCTCGCATATCCACGGCACTTTCCTGGGTGGGGGGGCTAAACGGTTTGGAGGGTTGAGATTGAATGGGTTTTTCTAGATTTGTAGGGAGGGCTGTCTTCCATGAGCAGGTTCCAGGAGGCCCTTTTCGGGACCCCCATCCCTGCCCACCCAGGAGAGTGTTAGGGGGCAAGGGGGTTTGCAAGCAGAATCTTGAGGAAGTGGCCGTCCTACACTACAGGACCCTGAGTTTGTTAGTAAAAGAACAACCGCAAATCGCCCAAAATCCCCGGATGTAGGGGCTTAGTTTCTTATACAACGGTTTCTTATACAGTGGTTTCACTGCATTTGCTCACAGTATTCTCGCTTCCCCGGGGTTACATAGAATTCACTTATCCGCGTCACCCCGTGCCCTCAAATACTTCCCAGTCTTACGGTTTGAGGATGCGCATAGCCTCCTACACGAATGTGGATGGAAATTCCACCTTTTCAAACAACACATACATCCTATATACCTACACGATGCGAGAAGAAATTCCACCTTTTCATACAACACATACACCATGTATACATGCACGATGTGGATAGAAATCTACCTTTTCACACAACACATACACCCTATACACATATGCAATGTGGGTAGTTAGTCTACATGTTCTTTGCATTTCCACAGCAGGCAAGCCCTACACTTTGTAGCATTGCGTAGGGAAAAGGCTCGCTCATTGTTTTCCCCTAAGACCTATTTAATTTAACTAAATCTTAAACGAATAAGGTTTGGTCCAAAACCTCAGACAAACAAGTTTCTCTTGGTTTCTCACCAACAAGACAGGAGAACACACAAGCCTTTCGGCCGCTTCTTCCTCTCTTCCTTCTTGTTTCATCTCTCCCTCGCTCTCTCTCTCTCTCTCTCTCTCGCTTTGGGTTCTTCTCTGACTTTTGTGCGCCTTCTGCCATTGTCGGATTCGCCCGCTTTCTTCGTCTCTTCCTCTTTTTGTTCATCTCTCTCTCCCTCTCTCCCTTGGTTTATTCTCTGACTATTTTCTTGCGCCATTTTCGGATTCGAAGAAAAAAGGCAGCGAGAGGAGGAAAGGGAGGAGGGATGCGGACGAGAAGGGGGGGAGGGAAGCAAGGAGGAGAAGGAAGAGGGGAAAAGAAAGGACGGCGAGCGAGGGAGAAAGGTAAATATCAAATGAAGGAAAACAAGCGGGATTTGAAAAAAAAAAAGCTGAGAGAAGCAATCGAAACATCTCGCGGAAACCATGCTAGAGTACAAATCGGTACACATACCTGTCTATGACATAGATAGATGTAGACCCAACCTGAACTGCGATCTGCGAACCACGAGCTTGCTCAGCAGCTAATTGGCCGCTTCTTTGTTCCACCCTATCACCCAATAAACCCTAAAGGTCCTTGCCACATACAGTTATATAATCCCAAAAGAAGGAATCAACAGAACCGAAGAGCTGCCCCCCCCCCCCCCCCCATGGAAGCAAGCGGCCATTCGGATGCAGGGCCAGGTCCACATCGTAACCATGCAGGCCCAATCCGCGGAAAAAGCCTCCGCTGCTCGACCCTAAAGTTCACATCACAACAAGATCTTGTGGCGGGTAGCTAAAGCCTTGTCATGCTTTGTTCAAGGGGTTGGCAAGGCAATGAAAGGTATGAGTATGTATGAGTCTAAACCGCAGATTAGAAGCGAGAAAGGGTTTGACGATCGCACTTGGATGGGATGTTCCGCAGGAACACCGCCGTTGAGCCTTTCCAGAGCTGATCCGAAGTAGATTGAAGGCCTTGGCTAATGCACCATGCATAGCAACACCGTCACCAGTTCAGTGAAACCTGGTGTGCAAAACAAATCGTTCGTATACTTCTGCCCCTGGATGGCGAGAGCCTGTGCAGAGTTTCCGCCGGCCAAGCACGCAGGCACAAACACTTTTGCCGGATCTTCTACCATAAATAAGCCAGTCTGCAATTGTTGACTGCAAAGCCCGCACTGGCGGACATGCCGGTCATTTCCGCTGCATACCCCGAAGGCCTGGAAAGCGTGGACAGGCAGGGTAGATCAGGGTAGGGTGGTGTGTTTCATCTTGGTGATTGTAATGCGTAATGCGTAAGCAGTCCCTTTTCCAGCCCAGCGCTCAGGAGGCGGCCGGCCAGGGTCTGTACCGGAGTTCATCGATGCATCGATGAGTCGGTGGCCCCGAGGGCCATGCGAGGCTGAGCTGCACGCATTGCCGCGAGGGTTCCAGCGGTTATCGAGGTGGACAACGCTTGGAGGGTTTCAGTTTCGGGGACATGTGATGGGCTGAGGGCGTGGGAGATGTCCATACTGCGGGGCGTCTTGAAGACTTCTTCACTCTTGCTTGGATAAAGGCGTACTGCCCTCAAGTCGCCAACTCAAAGCTCAAGATCAGTCAGGCCCTCCTGAGCACGTAGAACAACCTTGCGCGTTCGCTGCACTTGGGGCAACTCTACAAACTGCTTTGGGAATTTTGCTCGAGCAGCTTCGATTACGTTCCAGCTGCTAACTCGGACCTGCAGACCGCACCCCCCGCGACTTTTGCTTTTGCGCAGACGTGATGTTGTGGGCCTTCCGCTTTTGCTACCCTGGCCCAGCAAGACCCTGCAATAGATGCAGGGCTTCAGATCTTCAGGTTTGGAGGTTGAGGATGTTGTTTAGGTCCTAGCTCAATGGTCTCGACAAATCTTGAAGGCCCCTATGAAGAAGGCCCCTATGAAGGACGAAGGTTCCCAATGCGGAGGGTGTGCTTGGGAAAACCAGCTCCCACCTGCGAGGGAAGCAGTTCCGGACTCTCTTGGGCTGTACTTAAACATAGCTAGCTATTGTATGCTATTGTCAGCTTCGGGGTCCTAACAGTTCCACGGCTTGGATTACAGCCATTAGCCATTGACAGCTCAGCCCCTCTCGCAGGTTCCAGTCTCTGCTATGTTGTGCAACACGCCCGTGGAAGAAACCCTCCTCTGCAAGCAAAGGGTGCTAAGTTCTGGTCCAAATCAAACCTCGTGACTCACAGCTCCTGTTGAAGTTTTATTCCCATGTTTCCCTCACGTTCACGCTATGCAGCCCAAGTCTGTCTCAGTGACACACCGAACGTACAAGTAAACCGGTGCGGTCACACAAAACATACCTATGTATGAGGCAGCCATGGTTAGGGGTGCTGCAAACATCAGAGAATGGATGCTGAACCAAACCGAGAGCTTAGCTAGGCTGCGCTCACGAAGGTTGAGAGCCTTTCCGTGTCCCTAGCTCATGAGAAAAGCCCTAGCGACCCCATGGTGGCCCCATTGCGTAGACATAGACCCATTTGCTTTTGACTTGGACATGGAAGATCTTGCATGTTACATCATGTTACGTCCAAGCCCTGAAGCCTAGGCCCCTCATTGTCAATTTACGTCAAACGGGGGGTTTGCGCCATCAGATGCGTCGCCGGCCAACTCACCCCAATGCACTCTGCGACTGCAAGCAGCCATCCAGGATGCCTGAACGCTTTTTGGGGCATGTCAGCCACTAGTCCACTAGTCAGCCTGACCCCAAAATAAGACCTTCGCAAGACATTGCGAGTGCGGAGTTTGCAACTAGATGCAGCTGGTCCGTCCAGCTAGCATCCTTTCAAGCCCCAGCAAGTGACTAACGCCAATGCAAGCCTTGCAGAACCCAAGACTTAAGAAGCCGAAAACCATCAAGCAAAACAACCTCAACGGCGCACCTACCACCCTTCTCACCTGCCTGGATGATACTGCAGCTCCTTCTCCCAGTCGTCGGCCTGTTGGCAGTAGGTGTGTGAAGGGGTTTGAACGGTTTGGGTCTTTCGATCTGCGTTCTCTTCCCACACCATGTAAAACGTATAGACCATATAGAAATATACAACTCACCAAAACCGCAAGCTTGAGGGCCGAGTCGGATTACGAGCTGCCTTCCAGGGAAGGAAGCCCAGGGAGCTGGGCCCAAGCCTACTCTGCAGTATTTTGCCTTTGCCTTCCTTTTGCAAAGCCAGAGGACGTACGAGTACATGGGGTACGATCTCCGAGTCATCCCCTCTTGGGCCAGCGTTCCACGAGAGATGCCCACCGATCCCCAAACCGACCTAAGCCCCAACGAATGTGAACCACTCGCAAATCCAAATCCCCTTTAGAGCGCCCTCACCGATTCCTGCTGAGGTTCGAGAGGGATGCAAGATCGAGCATGCTCCGCATGCTGACAGCGCATTCCGGTGCTCTTCAAGCACACTTCAGGTGCTTTTTGTTGCATTTGCGCGCTCTTCAGGTGCTGACCCCGCGCAATTTTTGATGAAAGCTGAAGCAGACAGGCATAAACTGCACAACGTGTTATTGAACATCAAGGCCGCTGCGATCGCGTCAATTTTGCTTGGTTCTTATGATATTAGTCGGCTTTGGGTGTGGGCATGCGCGCACGTGGTCTTGCGAACATGGCCGTTGTCCCATAGAGATCTCTCAGGACTTGTCTTGCGCCTCGTCTGAGATCTGAAGGCACGCAACGGCCTTCACCGAGGACACGTCACCCTGGCGGTGCATTGAGGGCTGTTGGCAAGAGCAGATCAGAAAACTTGCCATGCCTCAAGATGAGCGCAGACTTGAATGAAGCTAAAACTGCTGGGCTGGAGATCGAAAGTCACCTAGCGATCTTAAGATGAGCTCCAGGCAAATGCCTCGAAGATCTGCAAAAACAGACACCAAGAACGCCATCATCGCGTCACTTTCGGGGTTTGGAGATCGGGCAAGATGGTCACTACCCGGGATAGGCCAAATTACCGCTGAAATCCGCCTCCACACCCAGGGCGTGCGTTGGGTTGAGGCACCGGAAGCGGGGCCCATAGCCTTGGGCAGGCCGAGCTTCTGTCTGCGAGATGTCTATCAGATGTCCAACCGCTAAAAACAGATCATGAGTGCTACGATGCAGCAAAACATGGGATGTACCAGGTAGTGAGAAAAAGCTTCGCGACAACGAAGGCGAAGTAAGGGTCAAGTCTAGAAAACCTGCAACGCCGCTCTTTAGAAGAACTTGCGGAAAGGCGGCCCAGCCCGCCGACGCGGAAGCCGACGTAGGTAAAGACCTGGCTCTCTGGACTTTCAAGGAATGCAGAGGCCCCAAACACGAATCTATGCAAACTCTTCTTATCTATGCAACCTCTTCTCAAAACCAGTTCCCATGAGTGTCGCAATGCAGTCGCGTAGGGGGAACTGGCTTAATCAGGGCTGTTGTCAGTAAGGCTTGCAGTCGCAACGGCGGCAACTTGTTCAATCGTCAGAAGCTTAAGCATCCCCTCACCGCACGTCTCCAAGAAGCGGAGCCGTGCATCTTGCGCCTTCGTCACCTCCTTCAGGACAAGCTCAGGCGCGCTGCCTGTGACAAATCTACCAGAACGCACGAGTCTAAGGCGGACGACAACTAAATGCTCCGGAGCACATCACTTACTCCAACTCTCCGCCCAGAGTAGAATGCAGGCAACGCAAGCCCCTCAGGCTTCTTGAGCTGATGGGTCATGCCAAGGGTGTCAAGGCGGTATGAGATGATTCTTTGCGACGGATCATGTCGAAGAGGACTAGACATGTCGCCGCCGACCTAAAAAATCCCTGCTAGGGTCCAAAGTCACGTTGGGTGCTTGTGTTTACCTCACTTCGCTTGTGCATTTAGATTATTGTGTGCCTCACTTGTGCGCTTTTCCTCTCCTGCATTCTTCTTCTTGGCTTCTCGTGCCTCAGTTGCACTTTTTGGTTTGCCTCATATGTGTCCTTGTTTTCACTTGCTCTTTGATCGTTTGTCTGCCTTGGTGTCTTGATTACTTACCTCACTGGCATCTTTGCCTCGTTGGCGTCGATCCTCGCTCGTGCCTCTCACTAGCGGCTTGATTGATTGCCTGACTCGCTTGTCTTTCTTGCTTGGCTCACTTGCGGCTGCACTCTTTGTCTCAATTGAAGCTGTATTGTTTGTCACGCTTGCGCTCTATGCGCTCTAGGGTTTGCCTAACTTGCAGCTTTACTGCGGCGCGAGTCGCTTGTATTGTTCACTCACTTGCGGCTTCAAATTATTTCGTTGCCTCCACTTGCGACCTCATGTATGTACTTGCATCTTTTCCTGGCCTTACGAAGGGACTTCCGCCTTACAGGCTTACACCTTTCAGGATTGTTGGTTCGGGGTTTAAGGGTTGCTGCTCTTAGGGTTAGGTTTCTGATGCTATGGCTGCGGTACTTACTTGCAGGGTTCAGGGCTTTCCGGCTACGAGTCGCCAAAAAAACATCCAGAACGCGCACCTGAGGACCGAATGCCCATCTGCTGCAGGAAGCTGGCTGCAGCCTGGCGGTCCTCAGATCAAGAAGCCGTCCGCTTGCACTCTTAGAGGAAGGCAACTCTTAGTAGGGGTCAGGATCTCTTCGGAGCCAGGCATGTAGGGACAATGAGGACCCTTACACCCCGTCGATCTGGGCCTTCTTCAAGGCGGAGCCGAAAATCTGCTGCACGTCCTGTTGCCATAGGGTCAGGGAGGCTGCTAGCACTTTTGCACGGCCACTGTTTGACATTCACCCTTCAAGACATAGGCATCGTAGGCCAAGGGCCTAGGGCCTAGGGCCTGGCCTGCCTGGACTGCGGGAAAGTCTCACCCTCTTGGGCCCCCACATGCTGGGTATAGGCGGAGCTCTTGTTCCTAGGCCCGGCTCTACCGGCAGAAATCAAAACTCAAAACAGGAAGCGGAGCTCTGCTCGCCATCTGGGACTTAGATGCAACTGAAAACAAGACCCTTCTCTCAGCGGGAACAACACGAGAAGAAGAGACTCAAGACCACTGACCGCTACCCCCCTTCCCCCCCAAATGCGAAACTCCGAGCCAAGGTTCAGCTCCACAATGGCGGTCTTCCACAGGCTCCTCGGATGCGAATGATGCGACGGCGTCCGATAACGGGCGGATCTCAAGGGTTCTTGGGCTCAGGGGCTCCATACCAGTACCTGAGTCCTAAATCCCAATCCGCATGAGCTGCGCGCCCCTGAAACCCAGAAATTCTGGGGTTTTGGGAGTGCCCGTTCCCCAAGCCGTGGTGCTTATCTCGGTTCTCGACAGCACTCGCCAAGTCCTCTTGGAGGCCCAGGGCTTTAGAGCTCATGAGTTCAGACGTCCAGCTAATATGTAGTGATATCGCATTCATGGCATCATTGAGTTTTAACTATCACTTCTTCTGCAGGGTGTAGACCTATAAAAATGACATAAGGCTTCAAAGATTCAAAGTATTCAAACAAGATGGGTGAGTCGAGGCTGTGACGTGGAATTGCTTCATATGGGCAGCTGCGTTCGGTCCGATGATTTGACCATGGAACCATGAAAAGCGTCGAGAACAATACTGTTCAAGAAAAGAAGCCCTGGACTCTAGAACTTACCCTTCTAAGACCACCCATGCGCGCCCGCGGACCATGTCTCCAATGAAGATGGGTCTGTTTGCAGAAGATCGGAACTACTGCAACAGTTTCTGCAACAATCTGCCAGAACACCCTGCAGCCGAAAAGATACTGACGGCTGTGCTATCTTGTTGCAGTGGCTGGCGGGGCCTCGAGGGCCTTCAATGCATCATTGCGGTTCGGCGCTTTCTCCATCTCACCACTTTCCGCATAGGCCCTGCAAAGGCGTGTGGGCTCGGAAGGGAAAGTCGGGCAAAGCTGCGAAGCTGATTGAAGACCGAAGCACCCTGGCCGCCTGGCCTGTTGATAATTCGCTGGCAGTCGGCCTCCCCCTTGGAATCGCCGAGCTCCTGGCATGAAGTGCGGGACCGCAGGTTGTACGCATTGCACGCATTGTGGGCACGTGTCATGTTAAGTTGACCTACACCAATCACCCATCGCTGGCAAACAGCACACATCTTGACAACCACTGCCGAGTCATGACTGTGGAGGCTTCATTGTCTCCGTGCCTTGAAGAGACCCAGGCCCTGTTGCGCCATGCTGAGGGCTTCCTGCTCTCGGGAGCATGCGCACAGTCAGAGGAACAAAGAAACAAGGCGACAGCTTTCTAGGATGCTTACGCTTCCCAGAACCCCCGAGCAAGTGTGTGCAGTAGGACTCCGAGCTCCCAAACATGGTGGAAGCTCCCAAGCTGAAAAAGAAAACAAGAGCAGGCGAATGGTGAGGGGTGCAGTCGGGATGCCTTCGTTCGGCCGGTTTTGAGCTTCAAGCCAGCCTCGGGGGATGTTGAGAGCTCACACTTGCCACTACTATTTTGAGAGCATCTTGAGCCCTTTTGAGCACAAGCTTCTTCGAGTCCCTCGTACGGGGCCCTTGTAAGCTCAGCGGCCAAAGTCCGCAGAATCTTTGCCTCACCGTCCTGGCATCTCGGAGAGCTAGGAGCTTGGGTTTTCACTTCACGACGGCAAGTCTTGGGTATCTGCCGGTAAACTGAAGTGTTTTCTAACTCTGGTTCGACCCCTCGGCTGTTCACGGGCTCTAAACACTGTAAATTGCCGTGTGTTGCCCTGGGTAGTAGCTTAGAGCATGTGTGTTTCAAAAAAGGCTGCTTTGGCTGATTCACAGGAATTGCAGTGTTGAATTCTTCAAGCGCTGCAAGTTGCCGCTATAGCAGCGCCTTCCACATCTCCAGCTGTAGTGCTGGTTAGTTCAAAGAGGTGAGATCAAGTCCGAAAGGGCTGCATTGGCTGCGTTTCCAGTTGCTTACATGCTGCGCACTGCCTTACGCATTTCCAACTCCTGTCCTGGGTAGCTTTAAAGCAACGTGCCAAAAAATTCAAAATCACGCCCTCTGCGTACGTTAGCCAGCTCTTGGCTGTGAACGGGTTGCACGCGTTTTAAATTCAAAATCGGCCCACCTTGGCAGCGTGTTGGATGGTTCTCGGAAGTGACAACCTGCACTCCTCCGTGGGCCGTCCCTCGTCCACGCTCTGTCCGACCCATACCTCTCCCGCACAAATTCTGTCCGACGCCGTCCGATACTTCTCCATTGACCGTTTAGTCTCTTCCATTCTCTTCCACATAAGCACGAAAAGAGAACTCCCAGTGGCTGTCGGGAAAGACGAGGAGAAATATCGAGAAAAAAATTCGGAGGATCCCAGACAAGTTTTCGCGACCGCGCCCTCCCCGTCAACCGGATGTCCACGCATCCCACATCCTCCTCATCAACCGATATCGCGCTGCCTCCCCCTGTCGCACCCAGATCCTCGACAACTAGACATCGCGTTCCCCTTTGTCTGCGCCTCCTCCTCCGTTGACCGCCCTCCCTCAACCGCCTATCGCGCCCATGCCCCCTTGACGCCGCACCCGCTCCCTCCCCCTCCACCAGACATCGCATGCGGTTGCCTTGCCCAGACCGCAGGACCAGGGGACCAAACCAGGTTTGCCAGAAAAAAGCAAAGGGACAAGGGAGAGCCAGACCCAGGAAGAAACACCGGCTCTGGCGCGCCATGCAAAGCACAACAAAAGGCTACCCCAACCCATCGGTCGCCCGCCAGACCCCCGAGCCGTTTGCACTCCAGCCTTCTTGCCCAGCTCTCTGTACAAGGCCAGGGCCTCGTTCCTCGAGTGCACAGCAGGTCAGAGCTGTTCCGATCTCCCTTGGGCCGTCGGCCCTCCATGCTCAATTCTTACAGCAGAAACGTAGCTAAGAGGGATTTGAGTGTGGTGGCAAACAGGCTGCGAAGCTTGCGACAATGCTCCTGACCAGCGAACCAAAGCCGAGAGAACAGCGGAGAACCATCAGGTGTCCAGGGCCCGTGCAAGGACTGCGACGCGCTGCCAGCGTCGCCTCGGGCGATTTGCACCTGGCGAAAAAGGTACGTCACAGAGCATCCACAACATCTCAGAGAGGTGTCACTTCGGATAGCGCAAACAAAGGTCAAAACGTCGTTGCAACGTGGTCAGCCGCACCTACCCTCAACTGCCCTGCCTCTGCCAGCATCTCCGACACATCCACCTGGTGTCAGTGACATCTGACCTAAAAAGTTAGGCATTTATTTGCAATCACGTCTTTGGCCTCGGCTTGCTTGTTTCCTGTCCTCTTGATCATCGCCAGCTCATCGCTGGCCTTTGCCAGTTGGCGCACAGACAGCTTCAGGCTTTGAAGGGCTTGAGGTGGCCTTGCAGGTCTGTTGGGGGCTGTTGCTCAGAATTGAGTACCCTTATGCGGAGGGCCCTTGTCGGCAGGTAGGCCGACGTCCTGAGTGTCCCCCCCTGGAGGCCTGGAGTCCTGGAGCTACTGGATTAACAGGCAAGCCGCTGCCATCATGGCGTCGAAACTTCGGTCCATGGCCATGCTGGCATCAACGACCTGAGGCTTCTTCAGCACGCGCAACTCACGTTTTGCAAGCCATGGGCTCGGGCGTGGAAGTCTGGCACTGCCGCTGCTCACGCTACTGACGTGACGGCCGTGGCGACACAGATGCAAGACAGCACTGCAATAACGCCACAGACGTGTAACCTCTTACGCTCCACACTGAAGCTTCAACCTTTCCGGCAGGATCCTTGAAGCGCCATAGCCATTCCGTCACTCTAAGGCCAGCACAACCTTCAGTGCGGATACCTCTCACGCATTGAAATTATTGATACCCCCGTGCAACTGTAGGCTCTACGCCGGGAGGAACAGTTCATGGCGAGGGAAACTGACCCCTTCCCCCACTTCCCCCTGCTTCCCCCTTATCTACACCCCTCCACATCCCCTCTCAAAAAGCGGACACAGATGACGTCAGCATGAGCCCCAAACAGTGCAGGACCTCGACGAGGCAGGAGCAAGCAAAACAAATGCACAAAGCCTCAAAGCATGCACATCCAAGAGCCCTGGAGAGGGAGTGAGGGAGTACTTCCCGCTACGTTTTCGCGACACAGTGGGATACAAGCGGAGGCCAGCCTACCCTCGAACATACCCTCGAACAGGGAGTGGACTCAAATTTGGTTGGGTAAATGGAGAGAGAAGGGGCGACCAAACTCCCCAACGGAGAAACCCCAAAGCTCAAGGCTCCCCAACTTTTTGAACTCTTGAACCCTTTGGGCCCCTCCCCAAATCCAACTCCCACCGATATCCCAACCGCCTTCTTCGCTGACTCCCCAGCACGGCGGAAGGAGACCAAAGCGTCCTGCCGGGATTCACATCTGTAAAATCTACGTGCTACTCACTTTCTTGAGGAATGGTGGCATGGTCTCCAGTCATCCGAAACCCCCAAGTGTTTCAAGTTCCCCTGCCTTTGCCAACGTCAAGGCCTCCGATGCCTGCGGACAGGCTTTCTAGGAGCAATACATCGGTCTTGCTGCTTAAGCTCACTGAGAACTGAAGCAATCTCACCGCCTGACCGAAACCGACAAAAACGAACCAGAAAGAACACGAGGCTTCCGTACTTTTCGTGGATTTCGTGGGTGCGCCAAGAAGTGGGGGACAGTGTTGCACGACTAGACAGAGGGACGCAAGCTTACGGCACAATAAAAGTAATGTAGAGAATGCACAAAAAAATACCGAAAAGTTGAAAGAGAGTGGTTTTCAGGCCTGAGGCGACAAAGGAGTTGAGGCTTTGGGGACCCAGCTACTGTTAAAGCGTTGAGGAGAGTGAGAAATGGGATGGCTCTTCAAGGGGCTCAAGAGGCCCCCCTTTGGAGGCCACAGACACCCACATGCATGGTTAATGAGAGGTTGACCTCGCGACAAAAGCCCCTGCCAAGCGCCAAGCGCAAAGCGTGCAACAAATTGGAAAAGCCGCAGACCAAACACATCGCACTTCTCTTACAATCAAGCAGCTCTTGCGGCAACACCCCAGCAAGACAAGTACTCCTGCAGACAATCAAATACCCTGCCTTGCTTCGGTAGAGCATGCGCTGCTGGTAGCTCACCCTCCAGCGGTAGTCGTGGTAGTGATGATAGTGATGATAGTCATGATAGTCATGATAGTGATGATAGTGATGATAGTGATGATCGTGGTGGAAGTGGTGGTAGTGGTGGTAGTGGTGGTAGTGGGTTCGCGGCAGATTCAGTACAACAGGCATCGAAGTCCGAGGTGTGGAAGTTTGGCGTGCAGGGTCTAAAGATGGGACTCCAAGGAAACATTGAAACATGGGGGCCCAGCATTTGTGCTTTCGGCGCTTCGTAGCCGATCAGCGCATCCGACCTGGGGTTTGAGCCCAAGATTCGTACGGACCTCAAAACTAAAGGAGTTCAGGGCCGTAAAGAAACCATCAGGTTACCACCAATGCTCTGTTCGTGAAAGCTTTCGTCTCCAACAAACCGTCCGGCCCTGATTACAGCCTTCTGCGCAGCCGCTGCTCTAGGATTCTCAACGCTGGCGACACATGGATCACAGCAGGGCCTTGATATTCTGGAGGCACTTCAAACTTCAGCCACATCATCATCATCATCATCACCAGCATCATCATCATCATCATCATTACCATCATCATCATCATCATCATCATCATCATCATCATCATTCATAATCACCGCCATCACCATCCTGGTCCAGTGGGAGAACCTCGGCCTGTAAGCAGTCGAGCCCTTCCACTTCTCCCTCACATAAGTGCTTGACCTTACACAAGCGCATGTCTGTAAACTGGGCATTCCGGTGGCTGGGGAGCGGGCGCAGTGGGAGTGTCGGGAAACATCGCCTGCATGGTACAGGAGCACCGACCTCACCTTCCCATGATGTCTGCGCCCCCTGAGTTCTTAGGCCACTCCCTCGGACTCTGCACGCAGCCTGGAATCAGATGGAACCCCACCACTCACCCGACATCAACTGCCCGGTCAATCACCCGCAGTAGGCTAGAGAAGCGCTACGGTCCTCCCGCGAGCCCATGTCCGCAAGCCTCCTGAGGCCAAAGCCCTAAGCACTAAACCCGATAACAGCCCTCTCAGGAATGCACCTTGGCATCCACCATGATGGCTTCTGCCGACGAAAGCGCGGCATCCGCCATGTTTGCCTGAGAGGTGGGGGGATGAAGTATCCTGGTAGTTTTCAGCTGGCTTCACCATTCTAGCTTCAAGATCTAAGGCCACTGGTAGTTTGACAGCACGAGATGTGCACGACCTTTACCGGTGCCTTAACCTCTAAGCCTCAAGACACTGGCTCTTCTTGAACACAAGGCGTCTCTGAATCCTGCTCTGAGCACAAGGTTTGAAGCCGACAACCCGGCCTCGCGCCCGCACAAAGGGCGGGAGAGGGCGGCGCAAAATCCTTTGACTGCCGCGGCTGCAGTCTGAGCTCAGTCAGAGACTGGGTCAAGCATTGTACATCCTTTGGCTTTATGCTCCCAGTCCAATGATAGGGTACTGTAGTGTTCTGCACGCACATCAGGAACATCTCTGTAAACATGCTCTTGGACTGCAAGCCTCGGCATTGGCATCCTTTTTGCAAGAGCGCTCTTCACTCGGTCGGCAGGGGCATGCATTTGGGGGGAGGGTCGCATTCTTGCATGCAAGCAGCAGGAGGCATTTCCATGCTTTCTTAAACTTGGGTATTGCATTGCGCCTCATGATGAATTGCCAAAGCAGAACCTTCCTGCTGGGAAAATTCCTGGTCTTTCGACTACCATTGTGAAACACGTGGTTGGGAAACCGCGAAACACTGTGTACCAGATACATGTCATCATAGGCATCGTAGGTATGTTCACCCAATTTTTTGCTGATTGGTCATGGAGTAGCCTTACGCGAGCTCCCGAAGGGTCTTTTGCGATCGCTGGAGCACGTCCTGAGCCAGCAGCACCTGCGGCTTGGTTAGAGAGCGGCGAGAATCCTCAACATTGCAGATGGCGCACGTTAGGAGTGGTAGTCGGAGTCGAAAACGGATTAGTAGCGGCAGCAGCTGTACTAGGCAACAGGTGAAATTAGTGACCAAGAGCAGCAACATGCCGAGGTGCCAGGGCAGCACTTTATGACAAGCACGTCTGCCGCAAGAGCCAGCACAATCCGAAACCCCAAACCCTACGTGGATGCACAGTCTTTATCGCGATACCAGCAGATGTCCAGCAATGGACAATAGGACAAGTTCAACATGATTGATGATTGATGCACGGGATCAGCCACAGAGCGATCGCAACCAAGTCGGTCCTGTGTTGACTGGACCCTTGGCGCCCCCCCAAAACTCGCCTTGCCCTGCTCTTTGCGCTTCCGCCAGCGCGCGACGCAGTTCTCGAAGGACTCCTCAGCTGGGACCCGAGACATGGCATCGGGTTCTCAACGGGTCGCGAAGCCTCCCACTCATAGCTCCTGATCTGCGTCACAAGTCCCCCAGAACAGCACTCAAACCCGCACTCAGTTCGCATCCCCTACCCACCCCACTCCACCCTGCAATTGAAACCTAAGCCCTCGTCCCAACTACCCTGTAAAGGGGAGGGGGAGCAAACCAAAATCCTGAAAACTTTAACCTAAACCCCTAACCGCCACCACGCCTGGGCACGCCAGAGCTCACACATAATAAAACCAACCCTGTGAGGTACTTAGCGCCGGCCTTGAAGATGGCGCCCAGGTCGACCCCCAAGATGTAGAGCGCCTTGCTCGGGAGCGTTGACTTGAGACGGCTTTCAGGCTTCGAGTGTTTAAATGCAATTGGATGGGAATTAATGCACCGGGGCTCAGAGGATCGAATGGCTCTGGGAGAACAGCCTTTCATGCGTTCATAACATGCCCTACCTGCTTTACTCAGCAGCAGCCAATCTTCGAGCACCTCACAGGCGCCTCAAACACCCAACAAGTCCAGTCGCGAGGGCCGAGCGTAGGCTGCATTCCAGCGCTGGCACTCGGAGCTCTGCGCCAGGACCCTCGACACCTGCGAAACTTGGGGTTCAAGATGAGGTCCTCTGAGCAATGTGAGTCGTCAGAGGTGTGAGCTCACGTCCTGGCAGCTTTAACAAATCTGCAAGCATCACACGTGGCTATGCGTGAAGGTTAGCATGTGCGACACTTGAAGGCTGCAACTACAAGTAGCTGTACGTAGCAAGGCTTGATTCGGCTTCTCTTGCCCAATCAGGAACAACTGCGAGGCTCTTTACCCCCTTCCTAGCAACAGCCATGAACAGTGAATAACGGTCATGGACGGCCATTGCTAAGATCCATCACAGACATGAAGGAGTTACACGGTATAGTCGGCTCTGCCACTCTGCATTCAAGCCTGGAATTGTCTGCTTTCCTGGCCCTCGTCCGTACAAGAAATGTCTTCGCACGCACGGGGATTTTAGGGGCAAGAACATTTAGCCCATAAATGCCTCTGCAGAAGCTGATGTCTTGGGCTCGCCACCTGCACCAGCATCGTCAACATTCGTCATCGAGCTAGAGTTCCAGTCGCAAACGGAGAAGAACTTGCAAGTTGCAAAGAAACGAGTGCAGTTTGGCAGCTTGCACTTTACCAACCGGCGACAAACTCACGAATCTCCGGGGCTCCACTGGGTCCAAGTGGTAAAACATGCACTGGCAGAGAGCGGGGGCATGCGAAGCCCCACCCCCAACCTGGTGACAAGAGCGCCTCGTCCCAGCCTCGCGGAGAACTCTCAAGTCTTACTCTGATTCACAAGAGTTACCGGTCCCTACCAACAGCTCCTCAGCTCCGCACCTAGTGCCAAATCTTTCCCTGACTCCTGCGTGGCAGGGCCAAGGCAAGTGTGAGATCGGCCTGAGTGGACACCTGACACCCCTCCGACAAGCGGATCCACTCTAAGCCTCAACCCATCCTCAACTTGGCGAAGGCTTCCGAACCATGCGACAACCCACGAGCTCCTCAAGACTGGCCGGAGTGGACTTGGCCTCCACTGCGCCAGGGCAGTTCAGGGGGGGTCCGGGGTTGAGGAGGCTTAGAGAAGTTTGCAAGATTGGCTCACGACATAACGTGCGGACCGAAGGCGCTTGTAACACCTTGAACCCCCAAACTAGCAATCTCCTGCCCCAACAAGGCCTTCGGGTCAGGCGGCAGCGTAAGGTTCAGTTCCAACAAAGCGCCTCGCAGAACAACGGAAATTGCTCCGGAAAAAAATGGGGAAGGCATTCCCTTAGTCTTGCTTTGGTGTTGAACCCCAAACTTGCGCCCAGGGGGCGGGGGGGGGGGGGGGGGGGGGACGAGAGCGATGCCCTAGGTCAAAATCACTGTAGCACGTCGCCCGGATGGGCAAACCCAACGTGGGGGCAAGTGGGCACAAGCAAGAACTTCCTTGAGCCCTTGGCCTATGTAGTTGGAGACCAGCTGCTCCTGACGGCACATGAAACAACAACTTTTCAGCCTATGAAGCGTGGTGAAGAATGCCACCCTTCCTTGAACCCATTTGCATATAAACACTTCCAAGCTTACAAGACCTTTGTTCAATCAGCGTGGCCACAGCAGTGGCATCCGTGTCAGCATGGTCTTTCACGGAAGCCCTGTCAGCATTGTGAAGGAAGCCCTAAGCAGCGAACTCGAAAGCATAGTCAACCCTCTTGAAAGGAACCTGCCGAACTGCCGAACATCACATCCCAGCAAATCCCTGGCCTCGTCCTCCCTGCTGATCCGAAGCCCCGGCGGCAGGCCTGGGTTTGGCTTGGGCACCCTGCCGTGCAGGTTCGCAAGACTTTCGGCTTGTTGGTTGGGCTTGTCAGGGGAAGGGGGGAAGGAAGCTGGAAATTGAAAGACACCTCTGCCCCAGCATACAGCCACTCCCTAAACGCTCAACCTTGGCCTACAACTGCACAAGACTTTTTCCAGCAACGGGATCACTGCTTCAAGCCACATTGGCGATGTTAAGGTTTGCATCGGAAACACAATATTGCAACCAGAGCCAATCAATGCTCAAGACGGTCTGTCTTCAGCGATCTTCAGCGTGTAGGCAGCATTGACGTGGAAAGCCAATAGTAAGTTCTGCTTGCTTGGTGAGAACTTCAAGCGCGCGAGGAAAGAAATCTGTGCACTGCGGCAAACCTCCAGCAGAAGTCAATGGACTTCCTGTAACCATGATGGGCTATGTGACCACGGCTGCTCGAGCCTGAGTGAGGCAAGCTGTTGAATACGTGAGGCCTTGGGCAGGAGGCTTGGAGATCTTGAGCCAGCCGAAGGTGCACGGTGTACATGTACAGGTTGCCTAGCGGTGTGGATCGGCGCGAAAAAACTTTCTCGAGATGTCTGCCAGATGCAAGAGTCTCCCGTTGCCAAAGTGGAATTGAGTTTTTTTTTCTGGTCACACGGACGAGAAGGCCCAGGCAGGCATCGTGAGCCTTTTGAGTTGAGACATCGGGTCTCCGATGTGGTGCTCTTGCATGCGTAAGCAAAAATGGAGAAAAACATCAGAGCCAAACGTTGACACTCCCGCGCATCCTCAAGTGCTTCAACAGGTCTCTCGCTATCTGGGGCCCCATCGCGGCCGGGTGCAGGGCACCGGGAGGGCGTGGATGGCGCGGGCCTGGCTTCGGTCTTTGGAGGTTTTGGGTGGGACTTCGAGGGGTTATTTCGAGTGGCTATTGCAATTAAGGGCTTTAGGGGTGGAGGCCTTGGGACTAAGGATTCTGGCATTGCAGCTTAGCTAGGTTCTTCGGAGATAAAGGTCTCGGTACCGGGTGTTGGGGTGATGGTACGTTCTCTCGCTGCTGTACACTCCTGAAACCCTCGTGTGATGGACCATACCAATGAACGGGGTGGGTTGGGGGACAAGATTCCCATGATTGGCCATCATCTAGTGGCGACAGAGTGGTTCAGGCCAGGTTGAGGCCGCCACCGCGTCATCGAGCAACATGAAGGGCGTCGACGCCATCTCCACCTCAGGTCGGGAGGGGACAATGTCTCACTGTCTCACATGTAGTTTTTGAATGTCTCACAGTGGCAACTGATACATTGTGATGACTGCATCACCAGCTATCGCCATCATCGTCGTCATCGTCGTCATCTTCATCTTCCTCCTCCTCCGCCTCCTCCTCAGCAGCAGCAGCAGCGGCAGCAGCAGCACGATCACCATCACCACACCGTCCACAACCACCGCCACCACGCCCGCACACCACCAGCACGTCGCCGTCGTCGTCGTCATGGCGGTTATTATGTTAGTCGTGGTCGTCACGGTCACTTGCTATTGCCGCCCCACTGCCGCCGCTCGCTGGGATAGTAGTGGTGGTCGTCACCGCCGGTAGTCAGTCATCTTCAGCAGCACTGTCGGTAGCAGCGGAGTCGGGCGCAGCAGCATCGGAGGCAGCATCGGCAGCAGCGGCGTCGGCTGCGGCAGCGGCAGCAGAAGCGGCAGCAGAAGCAGCACCGCCACCCCACCCCCCTCTCCTTGACAGTATTGCATTATAACACGCTACGCGTGTCCCATCCATCCACACGCAGCGCAGGGATCTCAAGATCTGCATGTGCATCTGCGTCTGCAATTTGATGAACCGCTGACAGGTGCCACCAACGGGCCCAGTGAGCAAGACCATGTTTTCACGTGCCGCGACTCAAAGTGGAAGTCTATAGAAGTGAGGCTTGGAGCTTGGGAACACTAACAGCAGCATCAAGCAGAGCTTTTGGTCCAGATGTCAAAAGAACACACCAACACCCGAAAATCTCATACGCATTCTATGCCAAGAATGCTGCAATATGCTGCACAAGCTCCTTGCTGAGAGCCCCTCTTCACAGGTCGAGCGCTCGTGAAAAAGGTGTGAGAAGGCACGCGTCCATAAATGGAACTTGCCGACAATTAGCGAAGATTTCGGAAAGCCGCGCGTCTTCAAAACACATGGCTGGGTCAAAACCTGTTTCGGGCTTGGGGCTATCGTCAGGTTGAATGCCGTGCTATGCGCTATGCCTGTGAAATAATTGCCATAGTTGCCGTAAAACACACTATTCCACTTCCAAACCGCTCAGTTGCTGATACGTGTTTTGCACATGTATTGTTGTGAAGTGTTGTGGATCAATCATGACAACTATTGGATATACTCATCCTCCGTCGAGGGCATCAAGAGATTCCCAACCCTCTGGGCTTCCGTCCCAGCCGTCCCAAGCGCCCCTCCTTGCCCCCCTACCTTCCCCCTACCTTCCCCACACCTTCCCCACACCACTCCCCCAGTGGTGGAAGTCCTGCACAGGCATGCGGGTCACATGTCAGCACTCCAAGGTTTCAGCATGTTTCGACATCGCAAGCCAATTGCTACTCCATCGTTGGTTTCTTTGCTCGCGGCCCCACCCCCGAGTCCAAGTCCCCCCAACTGCCCCAACCCGCTCCGCTTCCTTTCCATTTTTCCATTTTTTGTTCCACTCTTCGCCATGTGTTCCACTTTTTCTTTTTCACATGCGTTTCCTTAGTTCAAAACCTGGCGAGGCCGAGGCAGCCCGGCGCACAGCGCCGAGAAACCAACTAGCAATCACCCTCTGCTCAGAGTGGAAATGGAAGCCCAAGTGTGCGCTTGAAACTTTAAACGCCAGACTAGCATGCGGCTTTCCTGCTTCATGGATTGAAAGGGGATCATCTGTGCACCCCCTTGGAAAGTTGCGGATTGGATTTTGCGACAAGGTGAGAAGTGCCACAAGTCAAGCGAGGTTGAAATCCTCACGACTGCGCGAACCTCTCGTTGTCCTCATGTCCTGCAGCGCCACTTGCGCCTGGCCGATGGACTGGTGTGAGCACTGACTTTAATGTGACGTCCTGTGTTCTTGGGGAGGATTTGCAGGCTTCACGCTCTCATTACGAAACCAAATATGAAGAGAAGGAGCAAAAGAACACGGAGCCAAGAGACACCGCGGTCGTGGTGAGCTCACACATCTTCTCAAGTCCAGTTTAACGCTGATCAACGGCTCGTCGGCAACGCTCCGACTCAAGGACCGATCGCCCGAACTAAGTAGACTAAGCACAGGAAGCCCAGCCAAAGCCGTCTGCCCTTTCATACTTCCCCTGTGCCCCAGGCCACTCCTTCAGCGGCATCCTGGCCCAGATGTGCCTCCTCACGGAGAAGATCATTGGCGCGGTGGGGAGAGGAAGCTTACGCAGGCTGACTGAGGGTCTGCCGGGCTTGCTGTCTGCAGGAAGCTTTGGGTGCACAGAAGCTGGCAGACACGCCGGCTACTTGCAAGTACTCAGCTTGGAGACTCAGACGGACAATGCCACCTCAGATTGGGTCACAAGCACAAAGCTGGTTCGGCGAGAGCCCCCCCCCGGCCCGCGCTCCTCCTCGATCGCCTCGGCGAGCCGATGGCGCCTTCGAACCCGTACAGCGGTAGCAAGGTTTGGGCGTAGAGCTGTGGGGGCTCACCAAGCTACTCAGCCTAGCTGCCTCTCCCATCCTCGACTGCGGCGGGTCAGCTTCCCTGTCCACCATACCGCAAAAGAACCCAAATAGCGCCCGTTTGGCCTCCGGGAGTAGTCAGGCGGACGGCACCGGTGAGGGCTTGGACAGCGGGAGACTTGACCTTTGTTTCAAACAAGCATCCGGCATCATGTGTGCGCACCTATGTTTAAGGTTTTGATGTTGGCGCTTGAATCCTTACAGGTACCTTGGCACCTTCGGGTTCAGGGTTCAGACCTTCGGAATTTTCGAAACAGACGGCAAGTTTGCCCGGACCCTCTACAACTCTAGAACCTTCGATTGCAGGGCATCACGCGCCCCCCGCACCATGCCTGATCTCCTGCGGCTGCAGACTCTAAATCACTTGAACATCACTTGAACATCATTGCAGTGTCTGTGGCTGGGGTCATATGGTCCACCAGACGGCGCCCCCGGGTCCGGTGGTCACAATTTCTGACTCGGACCTCTGTTGTCTTTGCAGACAGCCACCTCGACACATGAAGGACGTGATGTAACTAGATTGGGCTGCGACTCTCTCCCCGTCGGGTAGGGTACCAGGCCGCTACCAGTGAGGATGGACCTCATTTGAGCAACACCAGCACTTAAGTGATTTGGAGTCGCTTGCTGCCATTGCGACGGTGGCGGGCCCGGTTCAAAGCCACATCAGTCGCAGGATCCTCACTAGGCCGCTAGAGGCTACGCTAGGCATCTTAGCTTTAAGTTGATATTCATCGTCCCGCTTTTGAAAAGCTCGTCCCAACGTCCCCGGATTCTGGGTCTCCCTGACTGTAAGCTCTCACACACCCGTCCCTCACCTTGAAACAAGTGTTCAAGCAACTGATGCTGCTACTTTGTTGTACAAACCCAACGGTGAAATGTCAGGCAATGTTTTGGGGATGCTGCTTGGCACCTCACAACGAGCCTGCACGTGGCCTTTCAGGGGCTGCTTGCGCCGAGCATTACAAAAACAATGTAGACTACCTAGACAAAGCGCGTCTGGAGGTGTGCGCATTCAGTTGATGCGGTTTGTGTGTGTGTGTTGGGTCGGGAGATCAGTGTCACGGGCAGATATTGCAGCTCTGCATGGGTAGTTGGGTTGGTGCGCAGTCACACTCGTTGTGGATCCGTTGTCTGCTGCATCCATATCAACCAGATAGGGCCCACACCGACCCAAAGCTCCAAGGAGCTCGGCTGAAATTTTTTGGGTCGTGGGTTGAACCGCATTTGTTTGAGTAGTTGCTGCAAGTTCCCGGTGCAGATGGTAGACTTGGCCGCACGTGCTTCATGCGACCACTGCATGCACTCAGACCCCTCAAGCTGCAAGCTTTCGTGTACCACACACAGACACACAGACACACAGACACACAGACACGCAGACACACAGACACACAGACACACAGACACACGGACACACAGACACACAGACTCACAGACACACAGACTCACAGACACAGAGAAACAGACACACAGACACAGAGAAACAGAGACACAGAGACACAGAGACACAGAGACACAGAGACACAGAGACACAGACACAGAGACAGAGACACAGAGACACAGAGACACAGAGACACAGACACACAGACACACAGACACACAGACACACAGACACACAGACACACAGACACACAGACACACAGACACACAGACACACAGACACACAGACACACAGACACACAGACACACAGACACACAGACACACGGACACACGGACGCACAGACACAGCCTCTTTGCTTTGAACTCGAAGCCCTGATCCATAGGCATGACATGAAGAACGGCGTCGCCTGATACGTGAAGGCCTGGAGCACACTTTCACCATAGAGGCCCACAGATGAAGCCCTCACAAGGAGCCTCCCATAGCCTACCGTTCTATCGTGGCGCCATGCTTCGCATGGGACGCCCTAAAGACCGGGCCCATCCTGCTCAAGCTGAAGCATGGGGGGAGACTTTATACAGCTCTTTGGGTCTGGAAACTGCCATACTGCCATACAGTAGTACCAGTTGACAGAGACAAGAGTCTTTGCCATCGCGCGGAAGAGCATCCGATATCAGAGGCTGTAATCACCGTCCCCGGAGGTCTGAGCCATCTCCACTATCCTCTTGGATGCCGGAGGTGGAAGCTCAGACACTAAGAACGCTAAGATATCTGTTCCTCTGAGTTCCTCTTAATCCCCTACTGCTCCCTCCTCGGTCTTCTGCCTCTTGTCTGGGTGTTTGTCTCTACTCTGGTCCTGAGCATGTCCGTTGCTTTGACGGATAGAATGCGTCCTTGCCAAGCATTGCCATCGCTACAAGTCCTGCTCAGTTTGTTCACTGTGTGTCCACTCAGGAGGCCCTGGTGGAATCACTTAAGAGTCCTCTTTGCGCAACTGGATATGCAGTCTAGCGGCGTGCTGGCCGGTGATGATGGTGATGTCTGTGACGGCCTGGTAGAGGGAGGCTTCCCCCAAGCAAAAAGATCCCCGTCTAATCTCGTTCCATGTGCATTTCCTCAGCTCTTCAGCTTTTCAGCGGTCGTTCAGGGCTCTAAGCATGCTGATCATCGCGGCTCCAAGGATTCAGGATCCAAGCACACAAAGCAGCGAAAGCAGCGAAAGCAGTGGCAGCATGTGAAGCACTGTGACGAGATGATAGAAAGCAAGCCAGTCTGCAGAGGATTGGCCCGTCGAAAGAACTCATCAAAAGAGAAGTCACAACAAAGCATCACCGTAAAGCATGTGAGAGCAGCCTCTGCCAGGGGCGACCGGCGCATGCCGCTCCTGCGCCCCACGGCCCTCGACCCCAGCCTGGAGTGAGCAGGAAAGCAGGGGAGGCAATCTCAACAGCGAGAGAAGGCTCTCAGCAAGGTCTGGTAGGTTTGTGTGAGATTTTTGTTGTAAACACCCACTTCTGGTTGTAGGCTTCCTTGGCAAGGTGGACTGTGCAAAGCACTGCGACGACTTGCTGAGTGATTTTACCCTACGCTGGACGAGCTCTGCCGAAACAAGATGAGATGCCGAGTAATAAAACACGACTGAAGAAAGGAACCCGTGAATTGGCCAATTCGATCCGAATATTCTTAAGGATGTTTAAGGTCTGCAGCATTTACAGAAAAATTGACCATTTCTGACTGGGGTGGCAGGCCTGGCAAGCCTCTGGCTGGTCGTTCTCCCGTCTGGTGCCACTGCGGCTTCGGCTGCTGTACCTTAAATTACAAGGCACCCTCAACCCCCACAAGCAAAGCCCTCACGAAAGCCTCTTCAGAGCACAAGAACGCCCAGCCTCCTGTCCTTGGCAGCCCTTTGCTGTACAGGTTCGCAAGGGTTGTTGGACCTGGCCAACCAGCCAGTCACACCTCTGACAGCATCCTAACCTGACTATTGCAGGAGTCTCACTGGAATCTGACATGCGCTCAGTTGGGTGTTGGAGTGAGCTATATTCATTTGTACTGGAGCTTGTTTCACGCAGTCATGTATAGAAAGTCCGTTAGCTTGGTGTCCGCGGCCTCTCCAGCAGTTCCCGCTCCTGGCTGGCGCTGCGCTGCTTCGGCCTGCAATGGCGAGGGCAGAAAAGTGCTTTGCAGTGCTGGAGCTCCAACACTTAATTCAAGTGTCTTCATCTTTGATCATCCCTCACAGAATGCATGCTTTCACAGCGGCTTCCATGCTTTGGTCGGGAATAGTTCTGAGCAGTCTGAATTGGAGCACAGGCTTGAGCTGACTTCGGGAAGAGATGCATGCCAACGAATCACGTATGCACCGTTCGCTGCCACTCCAAACATACATACATTCAAGTGCAGGCCGTCCACAACATCAGCAACTACTGTGGAATTCAAGGAAGTGTTGGGGGGGGGGGGGGGCACAGGATCGGGATGGGAGAGCACAGTCAGCCAGCATAGTGCTGCCGAAGCCCTCGTGAACTCAACATTGTGACTGACTAGACATGTCATCTTAAGTGCCGCGCTTCTCCATTTGGCAGAACAGCTCACACAAGGCGAGAAGACGTCGGAGGAAACAAGGATTGGATGTCACCCAGCTTTGGGCTTTGAGCCGGGAATTTGCGCAGGCCATGTGGTATAACATGCACCATCTTGTTTCAGTCCATGTCCTTCCACAGGCTGCAACAACAAGTGTGACCACATGCCAAACTGCTCGTCTTGGCAGCCGGGCGCTGGCATCTGCTTCCTGCGCATGCTTGCTACTCCACGACTAGAAAATCTCAAAGTAAGCTGCAGTGTCTGGTGACTTCCCCAGGTTCAGACTCGCTTTCTCTTCTTGAGTTTTGACATTTTTGAGGGTTGCCACAGCTTCACGCTCCTCGGGTGCAGGCTCAAAGCGGGCAGGTGTAGCTGGTGCAGCACAGGGTCGGGCGAGCTTAGAGCGGCTGGTCTTCAGGCATGCAGAAAGCTCAAGACTTCCTGACTTCAAGGTGCGAAGGTGCGTCACGCATAACTCTTGGCAGGTCAAGCGTCCCTCTCTTCTAAAGTAGGGTCCTCAGCCCAACATAAACCTAACGCAGATGGCATGTATCCAAAAGGAAGTCGATCCAAGAAAGCCCACAGCAAGTGCAGCAATGCACCGTCCACTCCACCTGTCTCACTCCCCGAACTCTCGACACCTCGCTCTACTACGATGCAAAAAGCCATAGCTGCAACCGTCTCCTCTGCGTCGGGCAAGTGCAACAGCAAGTGGAGCAGCTCCTTTGGAATTGCAGATGGCCCACAATGTCATTCTGCAGTCATTGCATTTCAACACATCTCAACCGTGACTGACCTTGCGAGGCCGACGGCTTGCCACTCCGGAAATCTCCCATAGCCGAGGCCCTCATGCATTCCCTGACAAAGAGAGAATATTGAATCTGGGAACAGATCAAGACCTCGCCCTTTGTTGCCCTTCGTCTACCCAAAATCCGCCCCAACTGCCGCTCCGCCGTGTACAGGAGAAGGGCTGGAGGCGTGGGTCGCACAAAAGGCGGCTCCAGCCTGGTGACGCTGACGACAGGGAAGATAAAAGGTTTTGGGATGTCTCCAGGGGCTCGCCATGTGTCGGGCATGCAGAACGCAAGAAAGGACGAGAAGTAAAGAAGTAGACGCTATGTAGGTCTGGGTCTTCTTCTGGATTCTTCCCCCAGCTTTCAAACAAGCAACGTGGAAGAAGCGATCCCGAGCGTCGATGCTGCTGCCAAGAACAGCGAGCGACCTGGCCCGGAATCCGACTTGAAAGTTCTCCAAGATTGGGGATTTGAGGCTTTACGGTTGAAGCTGACAGGCTTGTGGTTCCCACTTCTCCTTTGTGCTAGCATTCGCCACACTTCTTCGGCACCACTCCGTACAGCTCGTAAACCTGCACAACCGTCCGAACCAAGCCCAGCCAACCGCTCTCCGCCGTCCAAGGGGGCCGCTTCTGCGTACGGAGCCTGTTGAGTCAGAGGGTTGGGACATAGGTTTTGTTGAGGGATCTCTGCTGGGATAGGGTCAAGGCCTTTCAGTTGAAAGATAGCGGTAAGCACCTTACAGGCTGACGGAATAACGAAGAAATCAGAAAGCCCGGCAACCAGTCGAAACTGGCATGGTGCTTCGTGGTTGAATTCCAACCATATGTGTCTCACTACTCACTTGCCTGGAGAATAGGTGTCAGAGTTGGAGACTTCCGTGGGCTCTGCATGGAGGTGGAACCGACCAGAGCAGAAGCGACGCTGATCAGCGCACGAAATACCACGAAATATGCTAGATCAAAGAAATGAGGAGCTTTGTTCGAGTCCGTCCGCGGCGCAATCAAAGGCCCACGGCCACACGCGTGTTTCAGTGAACAGGCTGTTCCAACGCAATAAAGTGCTATCATGGCAGCCCTGGGAAACGCCTCAAATAAATACATTGGCTCCGGTGCCCCAACTGCTCAGAAAGTTCTATCGACCCGGATCTCGCCACACTACACCAGGGACCACGGGTGGAGGAGGTTGGGGAGCACGTGACCACAAACATCCTCATGCTTCAGATCAAAATCTTAACTCAAAGGCTGAAATCACGCAGCTCTAACCGTGCAATCGTTAACTTGACACCCAAAGGAACGACCCTAGACCCATATGTCGAACAAGTCCTCTATCCAAGCGCGCTGATAATTTCAAAGCACAAAAAATTAAAATGCCACTGATGCCCATAAAAGGACCTCGAGACCTGAACCTGACACCCTGGTTGCCCAGTGGCCCCTGTCGCAGCGCCAGAAGCGCTGTGGACGCGGCAGCTCCGCGCAGCACCGCCTGGGAAGTGTTGCCAAGTAGAGGGCTGCTGAGAGAAGGCTGCTGGCAGCGGCTATGGAATTGCTGCGGCTGAGAATTGTTTCGCTGCTTCAGATTGAGGCTCCTATCAGCAAGCATGACGGAAGGCCAACCAATCCATGCGTTCATTCTCAAGGGCTGTCACAACGTAGTGGCCTCATGAAACATGTCTCGTCAGACAGCATTGTTCAGGAAGGACATTGCTTTCGGACATGATTTTGCCCTTAAAAGTAGGAGCTGCTGAGGTTTAGTGCTGGAGCGACTGATGAAGCACATGACCTCATGAGCAACAAAAAGATACAGTAATTAGGACGCCACCTGAAACCGAATGACGATGAGCGATGGCAAGCTGGTAGTTGGTTCAGTGCGGATTTGAGAACTCAGAGCCCACAACACAAGCGAAGCCACAGCGAAAACGGGTGCAAGCGCTCACCAAACTCAACCCTAAATACCTGTGATTGGGTGACCTGACACCTGCGCACTGAATCTTGCGAAGCTGCAACTGCAACTCCCAAAGCCCACGCATGACAAACTCATCGCCCCTCTCCGTCGTGCCAGGCGGCTGCTTGTCGTTCCGACTCGAGCCGAATCTGCCTGGCCTTGCCCAGTACCATGCTATGGCGGTGTTTGCATTTGCATCTTGTCGAAAGTTTGATGGGCAACTTACACAACGCAATTCATACAAGAATGCTGGAAGTGCCGTCGCCGAGTGTCGGGAAAGGACTGAGCACGGTCAAGGACACTGTGCTTAGGCTAACCTAAAGCTGCTGCAGGAGCCACATCCGAAGTAAGGCAGGCCCATGTGTTAAAAGGAATGGCCGGTCGCGGGGGATAACTGGAAACTGTAGCAGCCAGAACCAACCTGAAGCACCAGTCTTGCTGTCTAGAAACCCCATTCGATCGGTCCAAGTATCAGCATCGTGGACTAGACCAAACAGTTGTATTGCTGGCTCAGCAAGACAAACATAAGACATGGCTGCTTGTTTAAAAACTTTGCGAAAAGTTGCACATCTCTCACATACAAAACATTTGCACGTCTTGCAGCCCATGAAGCACATTGTGACAATGGTCCCACGCAGGCTCGAACTGTGGTCAGTGGTCATCCGTCATCCTCAGGATCCTCTTCTTTCTTCTCGTCCTCATTCTCCTCTCTCCTGTCCTCACTGCTGTCCTCGTCACCGTCCTCGTTCCAATTCACGTCCCGCTTCGCCTCTGCCTCCGCCTCCCCCTCCAGCACCTACTCCGCCTCCTCCCCCTCCTGTTGCTCCTGCTCCCCACCCTCCTCATCCTCGTCATCCTCCTCATTCTGAATGAAGCCTAGAAGGAAGGATCTACGTGAACAAACTGGTGATACAGTCAGACCTTCCAGAAGCCCTGAGACGCTGCCTTCTCAAGCACCCAGTCTTCCTGACTGGAGCCAGTCATCACCTGCGCCCCAAGCACACCGCATGCACATCCTTGATGCCGGGAGGTGGGAGGGAAGCTGCATCAAAGTTTGAATCCACATGAACCTGCATTGTTTGGAGGTGCAGGCCAAGACAGG